CCCAGTGATGGAAAGGACCCCTGCCTCTGGGCTGGCGGGTCATCCGCTGAGCACTCGGAAGAACTCAGCATCAGGGAGGACAGTGGCCAGCCCCTCAGGCCCAGGGTCTGCAGGGGTCCAGACACTGGGGAGCCCACCCCGTGGCAGGAGTATCTCTGTGAGCACTGAAAGCGCCAGTCCTCTCTCCAGGCAGACTGCACCTTTGTTCACCTGCGGTATCACCCATTTGTACCAAACACAAAATGTTTGTTTCAAAGCAAGTGCTCATTTGTGAAACTCTCTAAACCCACTTAAATAAATGAACTGGTAAATAAACTGTGAGCAAATCCAGGGTGCCCGACAAAAAGCGTTCACCAATTCCCATTTAGCCTCTGACACACCAGGAACACTGACAATCTATTTGTAAGTTTCTGCTCCCGTCCTCTAACGACTTCACATTTGACCTTGTGACTCAGACTGTCTTGTGGTCTTCTGCATGTTACATGTGCCCCTATGATAACCAGAGAGAAACAGGCTTGAGGATGCACAGCACGGTTTCACGCCTGAGCCTCAGAATTTAACTTAAGAAAGGACAAAATATTGGATAGTTCCATTCTTTTCAATCAAAAATATTCCTTAAAAATTTGAGTTCATTTCAAGGACTCAATTCTTAAGTGTTCTAAATACATTGGCCTTGTTATTCAAATTATGTCTAGGAAATAGCTTTGTTTGATTTCTCCCTAGTGGTGAACATACTTACATTCGGTTATGGGCGGGTAAATGTATTACCTCCTTCTGCCCTAGAATATAACTTCACAATTATGTTGCTCACCAATGACTCTATTGTGCCTAGAATAGTGCCTGGGCATCAGTAGGTGCTCAATATTGATGTTTTTGGAATAAATAAATAATTATATTAAATCAGAATATTCAAAATGAATTAAATGACCAAGAGATCTGTCACAAGTATAATTTTAAACACATTTATATAAATATATACTGCACACACAGACTTTATATAAAGTGTAGCGATGTATACATATTTTCAATTTTATATTTTCGGTTGAATTGGTTGCTTTCCTGGGAGCTTGAAAGATGATACGTCTTTAAAAAAAAACAGCTTCACTTAAAGACCACCATACTTGTTACTTTGAATTAATTTGCTAAACCTTTATACAGAATTTGATCTTTTTTCTTTTTCCAATCAATCCACAAGTTGCATTTTGTGGTTCTTACACTTTTGTTAAACAGGTAAGGTTATTCTATCACTCTTCAAAAATGCTATTGCTACAGAAATTTAGCTAAATATATTAAATATAATACCACAAAAATGGGCTTAAAAATACTACCCTCAACAAAGAAAATGATCTACTTTGCAATGCTATGACAAATGAAACAATGCATGCTAAAACCTTCTATTTCCATTTTGCAAGGCACCATACAGTACCTTCTCTAAATTTTGATACAAGAAACAAAATGGCATAATTCTCAGA